TTGTTAAGATTATGCAACATGACATATTTTACATATTATTTTAACATTTTACCAATAATTTTGTAATTGCGTTTACAAACTAATAATTTATATCTATACTATATTATAAAACATTTGACAAAACTTCTTAAAAATCATTTTTTATGCATAAAGTACTATTTAATAATGCATGTTACTTAAAACTTAAGATTACAAGTAGATTGTGCGTAAGTACAACTTATTAAAGCTTCATATCTGAATTCGTATAACTAACTACAGATTAACATAATCAAATACATAATAAACATCTCATTTTAAATATAAAAAATCTAAAATATAATTAGGATAATCATTGAGTTCTAACAGAATACTTAATTATTATCTTATAAAAAATTCATCCATTAAATTAAAAATAAATTAAATTATAATAAAAAAATAAATTAAAAAAATTACATAAAAAATAAGAACTTTTAAATAGTTGATTTGATATGACATATTTTTTCAAAATTTTATTTTATTCAAAAATAAAATCATTATTGCWTTCTTAAAAACACATAAAATCGTATTATAACATCGACAGAGACAAAGAATAAAATAGAACATTAAAATCAAGATGTGTCTTGCTGCATTGCGTGAGTATTCTTCTACTTATATTACAGAACATTTGACAAAAACTCTTAAAAACCAATTTTCATGCACGGAATATTGTTTATTGATGCATATTACTTAAAATTTAATATTACAAGTAAATTGTACGTAAGTACAACTTATTAAAGCTCCATTTTGAATTTGTGTAACTAACTGCAGATACACATAATCAAATATAGGATAAACATCTCATTTTAAATATAAAAAATTAAAAATATAATTAGGATAATCATTAAGTTTTAACAGAATACTTAATTATTATCTTTATAAAGAATTATATAATTAAACCTAAATTAAATTACTTAGTTACATTAAATTATAATAAAAAGTTTTAATTAAAGAAATTACACAAAATAAAAACTTTTAAATAGTTAATTTGATACTAATATCGATATAATTTTTTCAAATTGTTATGATATTTATTCAAAAATAAGAATATTATCGTTTTCTCAAACTCACATAAAACCTTATTATATCGATATAGATAAAGAACAAAATGAAACATTGAAATCGTGATGTGTGTCGATGCATTGCATGAGTACCATTTTAGTTATATTATAAAACATTTGATAAATACACTTAAAACAACTTTTTATATATAAAGTATTGTTTATTGATGCATATTACTTAAAATTCAAGATTACAAGTATATTATGCGTAAGTACAACTTATTATGATTTTATATTTGAATTCGTGTAACTAGGTGTAGATAAACAAAATCAAATAGATGATAAATATATTTTAAATATATAAAATCTAAAATATAATTAGAATAATCATTGAGTTCTAACAAAATATTTAATTATTATTTTTATAAAAAATTATATTATTAAACCAAAAAAATGAATTAAAGAAATACACAAAAAGAAGAGAAATTTTAAATAGTTAGTTTTGTACTAATGTTAATCATAAAAAATTCAATTTTTTATGATATCTTCATATTTATATTTATTTAAACATAAAAACATTATTACTTTATCAAAACCACATAAAATCGTATTATAACATCAACTCAGACAAAAAAAAAATCGAAATACTAAAATCGAGATGTATCTCGCAGCATTGTGCGAGTACTCTTCTAATTATAAAACATTTGACAAAAACTCTTAAAAATCATTTTGATGCATGAAGCACTATGTATTAATGTATATTACTTAAAAAAATATATTATAAGTAAATTGTGCGTAGGTACAACTTATTAAAACTTTATTTTTGAATTCGTATAACTAAATGCAGATAAACATAATCAAATATAAGATAAATATCTCATGTTAAATATAAAAATTTTAAAATATAATTAGGATAATCATTGAGTTCTAACATAATCATTATCTTTATAAAAAATTTATTGTTTAGCAAAAAATAAATTACTTCACTATCTGACCCTTAATTAAACTGTAATAAAAAAATTGAATTAAAGAAATTGTACATAAAAACGAGAACTTTTAAATAGTTAATTTGATATTTATATTGATATATTTTTTCAAAATTTTATAATTTCTTTAAATTTATTTTTATTTAAAAGTAAAAACATTATCCGTCTCAAAACCACATAAATCATATTATATCAACAGAGACAAAAAAAAAAAAAAATGAAACATTAAAATAAAGATGCATCTCAGTGCATTGCACGGGTACCCTTTAATGTGTCTAAATGAATAAAGACATTCTTAATATATATGATTTATATGAATTTGTAATCAAATCAAATAAAAATGGGATGTACTTGTATAATCTATATGTATATCTTTATTTGATTGTATAAAGTACACTCTACACATACCAAAATGCATTTATTGAATATGAATTCGAATCTAATTTGGATACGTGATCTCAACCAACGTTCTACGAAAAAACAAAGATGTGTATTAAATTTAGAAGTTTGATGACACAACCTCTTTCTTATACGAATTGATATTTCAACAACATGCCAGAAAATAAATACGTCTTTATTGACCAGATAACTGTAGTCCATGGTGTTCAGGTACCCTAATTCACGGAGTTTATGCAAAGCACCTTTTCCACTTAAACCCGTCAAACTTTCTCCTAAAGTTTCTTCTTTTCGGAGATGAGCGTAGCCATACCCGAAAGTTTTTTTCCCCAGAGATAACACAAAATAATTACTGTAATATATAATTAAATAAATAATAATTATGGAATAAAACAAAATATAATTATAAAATAGTTGTTGGAAAAAGTGTGTGTTCTCACCATATTTGGATACATATATTAACGGGGATCATTGATCTGTTCTTTAAAACATTTTATGGGTTGCGTTCTCCTCTAGAAGAGCTATGCAACGACGCAAAGAGTATCCAAAACTGAGATTGAGTGAATGAGAAATCCAATCTCAAAACGGTGGCATTGACGTGGATTATAAGTATTGGTTTATGAGAAAGGCTTGTCCCACATGTGTCTTAATTTGATTGCGGGACAGGAATGAGACGTTTAATTTTGAGACAGGTGATTTTTATCCCATGGAAGTAGCGTGCAAATCTTGGACTACATTGCGATCCAAACTACTGAACTTGTGTGCCCTGGGACGCGTTGCAAAAATGAATGTCATGCCGAGATTGATCAAAATGTTCAAATCAGTTTTTGGCTGTATTTGAGATCTATCATTTAGCTTTTCGACAACTATGGTGGCATAACCAAGAAATGTAATAATTCTTACACTGCAAAAGACAAATTCAACCGACAGTACAAGCCACAACTCTAACCCTTGTAAATTTCTCATTTATTGGAAGGTGTTCTTTGAAATGGAACAAAGTTCTTGTTAACACCAAATGTTAAACACCAAATCAATAGTCAATTCAACTTGAAAATGATAAGTGTAAATTTTATATGATAATATGATTCTACCTTCAAAATAAATGTGGTCACATGGCAATGAATACATGTGTTGAATAAGAACTCCCCTTGAACAAGGGTGTACAACTTTTATAAGAACCTCCTTGAAAATTAACATTTTCAACCCATCAAGTTTTGTATTATATATTTAAGGGTCGTTTACCAAATACTTACCCGGTAAATGTTTACCGGTAAAATTTAACACTATTATTTACTTACCCGGCAACATTTTCGTCCATCAAAATGACATCGTATATAACAATTTACCCGGTAAGCGCTTACCGTGGTAAGAGTCGTCACCCACACTTACCGAGTAAGACTCTTGGTCATTGTCTTGCTCTTATCAGATAAGATTCTTGATCATAACCATACTCATATGGTGATATAATGTTACTTGGTAAGCGCTTATCCGAATAAACACTTGGTAAACGGCCCCTTAACCTCCCTTATTTAGGTAACTGTTTGGACAAAAATTGATTGCCGACAATCCTAACCTGTACCACACAGAACTTGTCTCTAAGGACACTAATGTAAAGGGACATTTTTATTCACTCAACGACTGATACTAGTGAGGAAAGGGACAAAATCGAATCCAGTACCTGTCTAATATTTATATTTTTTTTTATGTTGTTTTAGATGATATCATCATATTCATATGTACTGTTTTTCATATATTCAGAAATTATACAAGTCGTGGTAGATTAATCGGTTGAAAATTTGATCCCATCACATCAACATAATCCATAGTAATATCCGATGGTTAAAACCAATATAATACAATTACCCATTGGATCATATTGGTTTTCCAATGTCAATTGGATTAGATCGCAAAATACAACATCTGATAGATGATTTGGTCGAATCTAATCCATCTAAATTTATTAGATTTCAACTGATGTGCACCTTAGTGCATAAGTGTACCATGGAAACCGGGAGGGGTAGGTACACAATGTGTGTTTGTTTATATATATAAACACTGAGGTATGAGGTTTAGAATTAGTTGCACCAATATGCAACGGATAATTTCACACTCAAAGAGCAATTAATAGGTGTGCATGAGATTAAAAGTGATCAAAGGTTCACAAGATTAAACAATTTTATGAAAAAAAAAATTCATAAGATTAAACAATGAAATCGACGGATGAAGGTGGTTTGAACGGTTTGTACAAATTGATACAAAACATTGATAAAAATAAGATAACACAATCATCAAACTATATGTAATATTACATAGAAATGATGCGTGATTAAGGAATTATTAGTTCATTAATATATTTATAAAGAAAGCAAGTGTCTCCAACACACTCGAGTGAATCAAATCTACCAAATCGAGTGCAATAAAGACAATAACCTTCCGAGTAACTCAACAAACTACTTTTTTGACCAAAAGTCAAACTAAAACTTCTTTTTGTTAAATATTTCTAAAGAAAACCAATATTATTAAATTCTTTTAAAAATAAATAAATGTTGTAAATAAAAGACAAATAATTAATTACACGAAAGGGACACTCAATAAATCATCACCTGCCCAGCAGGCCCCACACTCGAGTTGAATTAAAGACGAGGGTAAATTTGTAATTACAAGGTATACTCATGTCCAAATTGGTAATTACAGAAGAAAAACTAAAAAAATTCTTAAAATCATTTCTTTTTTTATTTCTAACAGTATTTAATGCTACTGCTACTAGTAGGAAACAGGCATAAAAAGGCAGCAAGGGCAAAATGGTACTTTAAACGGGAGTCAAATGTGTTCGCTCACTTGGTCAATGTTCGACGGTCATCGAAATCAACGGTTTGTATTGAATCTCCCAAAATCAGCGAGCTTTCTTGATCTGTTTGCACAGAAGGATTTGGTGATGGACAAGTGAGGCTTCACCGGAGCTCTCATCTCGCCGTCCGCCGGTGGCATTCCTTTCTGGTTCCAATGCCGGTTAGGGCTAGCTCGAACCAATGGACTCAAACAGAAAGTTAGTCCAGAAACATTCTTGCCGTTTCCACTACCGCGCCGGACCGAAGGATGAGCTGGAGTCCTCCACGGAGTCTGTTTCCGCGACTCACACGACTCGTATCCGCTGGATCCATCGCAGAATTCGTCTTCTGCACCACCGCCATAACCATCGGAGTATCTGACAGGAGACATGCCCCGATCTGGACAGTACAGCTTCCTCATCACGCCAGCTCTGGAGGCTGTTGAAGCCTCTTTACAATAAAACGGTTGCTTCGTCCGGCTACCACCACCGGACCTAATGTTTGAGAACCAGGAAGGCGACGACATTGCTGACGTGGCACTATCACCAGCATTGCATGATCCACCAGAATTTGAAACCGAAAATCGAGGATTCGAATCCTCGTTTCGTTTCTTAGATCTGAAGAAATTCGATAACAAAGAGAAGCGAATAAAACTATGACGCTTCTTACGGCTTGAATTATAGCCACCGGTGGTAGGCCCTACCTGTGGCGTGCTAAAATACCGCTGATCCGGAAGGCTATGATGACGACTGTAATGATGACTGTCGTTAGGCCATGCGTCAGCTACGATCGATGCGGCGGAATTATCGGATTTCCGGCGACTTATGTAAGGAGAAACAGAACGAGGAAACACCAGATGCGTGTCTGAATTGCGATTTTTATCTTCTAGGGCTTGAGCTTGAGCTTGAGCCTGTGCCTGTGCTTGCGCTCGTGCCTGTTCTTGAGCAGCGACGAGTGAAAAGAGGCGTTCACGGAGACAAGAAGCGCAGACGCCGACGATACTACTGAGATCGGTGTAGTGCTTCTTGCACCTCATCTATCAAAGCTGTAACTGATATTGGTTTGAGAAATTAGGAGGTTGTAATCATGGAAATAGGGTTTTGGACGAGGAAAACAGAGTTGAAATTGGGGGAGATGAGTTTGTCTTCTATGGTGGAAATATAGGAGGCATGAAAAAGGAAAAACGCAAATGGTACGGAATTTATTTCTTCACATATAAAATGCAATATATAAAGATGGAGAGAGGAGAGAGTTGTGGTAGGGGACGGGAAGGTAATTAATGGAGGGTGCTATTAATGTTTCACATATAAATTGTAATATATAAACATGGAGAGAGTGATGGTAGGGGACGGGAGGCTTATTAATGGAGGCCGCTATTAATTTTTAAATTATACTTTTTATCATTATAATTACTTAATTAATTTATTTTAGGAAAATTTTTAGTATTTGAAATAATTAAATTCTTAGATAATTTTTTGAATAAATAAGTTGGATATTTCATAACCTATTAAATAGTTTCTTGGATTTTTTAAAACTTGCTAGATACATTCTTATGATCTATAAAATTAGTTAATATGATAAAATAAAATAAAAAACTTGAAAAAAATCCAATGAAATTTCATATTTTGAATGATTAAGTTTTTAAATATTTTTTTAACCAAAAAAAACACTTACATTTACTAAAAAAATACTTA